GGATGCTGAATTTATTGGTATTGTGTTTTTACCCTCAGAGACAGGAGGTAAAACTTTGGAGATTTGTTTGCCTTGGTTGTGGGGTCATCAAAAGAACTTGGCTGACCTTAGATCAGGGGTAGGCAACCTTTCCCCTTTAAGGGCCGAAGGACTACAGCTCCCAGAAGCCTCAGCCATGTTGGCCAATAGTCCCATGTTGGCCAATAGCTCCTGGGATTCTGGGAGCTGAAGTCCCTCGGCCCTTAAAGGGAAAAGGTTGCCTACCCCTGCCTTAGACAGTATGCATCTTGACCCCTGAGGGATGGAACTGGCAAAAAACATTTGCTGCTCTGCTTCAGAAAGCCAACATATTTGGGAGTGGACTTGGGGCATTTGGGTGCAATACAGGGCTCTGGGGTGCTGGTATTTTTGGTGTATTTTTACAAATGGGGAGGGGCTTTCTGCATGGTTTGGGGGCTAAAATGCCTGATGATCATACCAATAAAAAAAATTTGGATGGGGAGACTTCAAGATCCATAAAAGTGGCATTCATGGGGCCACACATGGCTCCTAGGCCACACTATGCCAACCCACTGTTAGGCAGAGTGAGGCAACTGCCTCAGACAGCAAATGCTGGGAGGCAGGAGTGTCCGCCTGCTAATTTCTTCCCCTCACAGCCTTTTTGGAGATTGAACTGTGCTTGCCACACAACTTAGAATCCTAGAGTTGGAAGAGACCCCAGAGGTCATCCAGTCCAACCCCCTGCCATGTAGGAATACACAAAGTACCCCTGACAGATGGCCATCCAGCCTCTGTTGAAAAACCTCCAAAGAAGGAGACTCCACCACTTTCCAAGGGAGCCTCTTCTGCTGTCGAAGAGTTCTTCTTACTGTCAGGAAGTTCTTCCTAACGTTGAGCTAGATTCTCTTTTCCTGTCGTTTTCATCCATTGCTCCGGGTCCTAGTCTCCTATTCTCCACCATGCTCCCACGTGGCGTATTCCTCTGTTGAAGAGCCCTTACCTAACATTTATGTGGAATCTCTTTTCCTGCAGTTTGAATCCATTGCTCCGGGTCCTAGTCTCTGGAGCAGCAGAAAACAAGCTTGCTCCCTCCTCAATATGACATCCCTTCAAATATTGTGATCTCTCCCCCTCAACCCAAAAAAAAATCTAGCCTGCTGAATTGGGATAGAGAACACTATTCAATTGCCAGGCTTGGCTTTTGGGCCACTCCGCTTCTCTGCATGGAAAGAAAAGGGAGGATGCTGCATTTCCCCCCTTGCGACAAAATGTCTTGAGCCAATTCTGCACCACTTTTCCCTGTCCTTTTTATCCATTCCCTAGACAGATCCATGAATAATAATAATAATAATAATAATAATAATTTTTTATTTATAGCCCACCCCTCTGCATAGCAATCGAGGCAGGTTACAACATTTAAAACAAGCCAAGTTAAAAACACTCCCTCCTCCCATGATCTGCCCTCCCACCCCTTAAAACAAAATTAAACCAAGAAAGAGTTAAAACATGGCAATACAATTAAGACAATATAATAAAAACAAGGAATCAGTTGTGCCAACCAGGTAAGATAAAAACTCATCTCCTTACAACAGCTGTTATTCTGGAAAGGCCTGTCGGAAGAGATCTGTCTTTACTGCTTTTTTAAAAGCAGCAAGAGTAGTAATAAGATGGATCAAGGAGGAGAATAAGGTTTAGGAGTCTTTTGTTTAGTTGCACGAGATCCATTGGTCTTCACACAAGGAAATGAGATGTGGAACATGTCTCAAGGACAGCAGTCTTGCTTTCTTCTTTACTGTTGTTTTGGTCTCCTTTGCAGGTAAAGGAATGGCAACAGAAGAGTACTCTGGGGAATTTCGATTGTATGACAGAATGGACACCATCTCTGTTGAGTCAGACCAGGTAGGGGATGAATGGAAGTTTTTTCAGGGTAGTATGGAGTTCTGTGGTCTTTGCTGGGTGGCGACACAGAGCTACTAAGTTTTCATGCATTGGGGGGAGTTCTGCAAGATTTACGAGCACTAGGTGTCCGAAAATTGTGCCCCAAAAAATGTAAACAATTTTTTTTGGGGGGGTGGAGGGGCTTTGGGGGCCCCATAAGTGGGGTCCATGGGTGGCATGTGGCCCGCAGGCCACAATTTGCCGGTGTCTGGTTTGGCACTTGCCTAAATCCATTCGTGACAAAGAAAAACATTTTGTTTTTGTTTTCTTTTAGGGGCCTGTAACATTTGAGGAGGTTGCTGTGCGTTTCTCGGAAGGAGAGTGGGGTCTGCTGGATCCAGGCCAGAGAGCTCTCTACAGGGAAGTCATGGTTGAGAACTATGGAAATGTAGCCTCTCTAGGTAAGGATCTCTTACACTGGACGGGAAAGGTTGCGCGAGACTCCGGGCGCCATTTTGGAACACAAAATGGCGCCCCGGAGGACCGTCGCGGCTGCGAAAGGCGGTGGCAGTGACAGGACCAGGCAGGGGCCAGTCGGAAGGCGTCGGCGGGCCGGATGCAGGCAGCCGACCATAGGTTGCCAACCTCTGGTGTAGAGTGTCTGTCCAAAGATCCATCTGTGAAGCAGGAGGTTGGATCTGGTGGGAGTGATGATTAACATAGTCATCCGCTACTACTTCTTGCCTTGCAGGATGCACTGTCTTTCTGTCCAGTAGTTGGGCTGGCTCTGCTTTGTGTCTGTGTTAACTGCCTTTGTCAACCTCAACTTATGGCAACCCTATGAATAAGAGATCTTCAAGATACTCTGTCCTCAACAACACTGTTTAGATCTTGCAAACTCAGGGCCATGGCTTCCTTGACTGAGTCTGTCCACCTGTAATGGGTTCATTAAATCCTAGAGTTGGAAGAGACCCCAACAGCCATCCAGTCCAACCCCATTCTGCCGTGCAGGAAGACACAATCAAAGCACTCCCAACAGGCAACCTCCTTCCTCTTTTCCTACTGTCTTCTACTTTGCTGCTGTTGTGTACCTTCAAGTTGTTTCTAATGTTTGGCAACCCTAAGGTTGAAAACCCATGAGGTTTTCTTTGCCAGATTTGTTCAGGGGAGGTTTGCCATTGCCTTCCCCTGAGGTGGAGAGAGAGAGACTTGCCCAGAGTCACCCAGTGAGTTTCATGGCCAAACTGGGAATCGAACCCTGGTCTCCAGAGTTGCAGTTGAACACTCAAACCACTACATCATGCTGGCAAGACATAGAGTTGGAAGAGATCCTAAGTGCCATCCAGTTCACCTCCCTGCCATGCAGGAAGAATCAATCAAAGCACTCCTGATAGATGGCCATCCACCCTCTGCTTAAATAGTCTTCCCCTTTTTCTACTGCCTTCCACCTTACCAAGCATTATTGCCTTTTCTACTAAGTCATATCTTCTCATGACATGTCCAAGACACAACAGCTTCGATCTAGTCATCCTGGCTTCTGGGGATGTTGTGGCTTGCTTAGTTCTAGGACCCATTTATTTGTCTTTTTGGTAGTCAGACAATAAAGTGGTTAATTCTAAATTTCAAAATCTTTGTGTCACTTCTTCCTACCATGTTTTCAAGGGTCTTCCCTCACTTTCTAACCTTATTCAGGTAGTTACTTACCCAGTTTGAATCAACATATGAGGAGAGCCTGCCTAGTTCTACCTGCTCTTGAGTTTTTGGGCTGCGTTTTTTCATTGCAAAATTAATGTTGTTTGACACTGCTTTAACTGCCATGGCTCCATCCTATGAAATCCTGGACTCTATAGTTTGCTTTGGCACCAGAGCTCTCTGACAGAGAAGGCTCACAAAACTACAAATCCCAGCATTCCATAGCATTGAGCCATGGCAGTTAAAGCAGTGTCAATCTGTATTGTTTCTGCAGTACAGATGCAGCCTTGGTCTGAACTTTAAAGAAGTCTTCCTTTCAACAGTGAGCTTGTTTTCTACTACACAGGATAGGACCTAAACTAGTGGATTCAAATGATGATCACAATTAAACATGAGGAACAACTTTCTGATAATAAGAAATGTTTGACTGTGGAATAGACTCCCTTTAAAAGGTGATGGCTCTCTGTTGTTAGATGTTTCAAACAGAAGTTGAGGGACTGGGTCTCAAGGTATTTTCCTGGGGAATTCCTAAGACTACATAGCTCTTGGGGTACCTTCTGACTATTATTCCAAGATAAATTCTACATCTTGGATGTTGGAACCATAAGTTGGAAGGTACCCCAAGGGCCACCTAATCCAACCCAGAGCTACTAGAGGAATCTGCTGCTAAAGCACTCCTAGAACATCAGCATCCAACTGTTTTTAAAAAATGAGCGTCCATCACTTTCCAATGAAGGAAGATTCAGTACTTGGCTAGCACCTTTAAAGTTCAAGCTCAGACCTGGAGTAGACACCACTGCTGTGGAAAATTTTCCCATGAGCAAAGACACTAGAAAAAACATGGCTTTCCCCCATGAACACACTCTCTATGTCCAGGTGGGCAAAGTGCAGCCCTTGGTCCTCATGGGGCTCCGGGGGTATGCTTTTAGCAATAGCAATAGCATTTACACTTCTATACCGCTTCATAGTGAAATCAGCACTCTGTAAATGGTTTACAATCTGTAAGCCAATTTCCCCCAACAAGCTGAGTACTCATTTTACTGATCTATGAAAGGATGGAAGGCTGAGTCAACCCTGGAGCCCTGCCTGGGATTGAACTCACAACCTTGTGCCTGCAGTACCAGCTTTTAACTGCTGCACCACCAGAGCTTACTTTTCCCCAGGTTTTTTCCCTTCAAAATCCCTGGTAGGTAGCATTTCAGCCATGTTTTGGGGAGCCCTGGACCAATTTAGGCCCAAGAGTTTTTTGAAACAGGAAGTAAACATGAAATGACTTCCACTCATTTGTTTGTTGTGTCTGACTTATGGTGACCCTAAAGCGAACCTGTCATAGGGTGTTATTGGCAAGATTTGTTCAGACAAAGTTTTGCCATTGCCTTCCTATTGAGGCTGAGAGTGTGACTTGCTCAGTGTCACCCACTGGGCTTCCATGGCTGAGCAGGGATTCGAACCCAGGTCTCCAGAGTCATAGTTCAATGTGTAAACCATTACACCACTCTGGCTTTCTCCACCCATTTACGGTTTACTCTCTCAGGCTTAAGATCATCCAAGAAGGCCAGGAAACGTGGTAAAAATGACACCTAGAAGAGGTTTGGGGCATTTGGAGGGTGGCAATTTTTTTTTTTTTATAAAAGTGTGTGTAGTGGGGGGTTGCAGCCCTTGAGGTTCTCCTGGAGGTTGATGCAGCCCCAAACCTTCCACCGTTGCCCACCCTTGCTTGACATGAACAGCAGCTTTTCACACTTGCCACTTTTCATGTGCAGAAAATGCCATTTTTATTTTATTTTCAAATATAAAAAGAAAATGCAACACATTGTTTTTAAAGGGTAGGTGATCCCAGCCTTGTGTGTTGATTCAACCTGTGTAAGTAACACCTGAACAGGGTTTCCATCACTCAGCATTCTGTGCCATGAGTCCTTTTTAAGGTTGTTTGCTTTTTCTTCTAAGTGTGTTTTTTGTTCTTGAAGAATTTAATATCTGTAATCTAAGTAGTTACTGCAAGTCTGCTGATACTTCTCTCCCTTTTGGTTTCAACGTCAAAATTAGAATACCTGAACTGGAGTTAGAATGAATATGTTTCATCAGAAGAGATAACATTATTCTTTGCTGTTTTATTTCTTTCCCCAGAAGGACCTCCGGTGCCTAAACCAGACCTGATTTCTTGGTTGGAGGAAAAAGAAGATATTTTTAACCAGAGTTCTGGAGCAGGAGTAATAGAATCAGGTAACAAACTGTTTGCATTCTTGATTAGGACCATTTGCTGTTCTTGTAGAATTGTAGGGTTTCTCAAGAGAGGTGGAACTTTTTCCTGGTATTGGTTTTTCTTCTTACCTGGGACTTAAAGCCTTTGCAGACTGCCAGAAATAGCACAAATTGAGTCCACTTTAACTGCCGTGGCTCAGTGCTAGGGAATCATGGGAATTGTATTTTTTTCTGAGACATTGAGCCTTCTCTGTCAGAGAGCTCTGGTGCCACAATATACTACAGTTCCCATGATTCCCTAGCACTGAGTCAGGCCAGTTAAAGTGGACTCCAGTTGCACTATTTCTGGCAATCTGCAAAGGCCCTTAGTGACAACTAAAACGACGTCATGAAGAAAAAACAAGTTTATCAATAATTGTAGTAATCAGTGACAGAAGAAATATGAGACTTACATGGTCCAAATTTGGATTATCTTAATTCATCTTAATAGCCAAGATATGAATGAATGATCACTCCCCGATATATCGCTGTGGCTCCTTTCTTTGACAGGTAGCATGATGTAGTGATTTGAGCATTGGACTGCAATTTTGGAGACCAAGGTTTGAGTCTTCTCTCCGCCATGGAAACCCTTAGGTGAGCTTAGGTAAGTTACATTCTCTCAGCCTCAGAGGAAAACAAAGACAAAGGCAAACTTTCTGAACAAATCTTGTCAAAAACACCCCATGAAGGTTCACTGTAGGGTTACCATAAGTCAGAAACAACTTGAAGGCACACAACAACAGCAAAACTCTCTTTAGGGGATTGACAACCAAAATGGGGAACATTTAATTAACTGTAGCTCACCTGTTCAGCAGCCCTTCCACACTGTACAATTAAAGTGCTGTGATTCCACTTCATCTGGCTTCTTCTGAAGTTGTTCATCAGTGGTGGGAGTCAGTGGTCTTCCATATATTGGTGGACTATGACTCCCAGTATGCCTCAAGTTTGGCTATGCTAGCTAAGGTTGCTAAGAGTTGCAGCTCAACAACATCAGAAAAATGGTATGATTTCCCATGTTGATGTTAACCAAGTTTCTTGGTTCAGATGATATGGAAATCTATGGTTGATTGAGAGGTTTCCTAGTTAGATAGCTCAGAGATCCAAGTTGCTGTTGTGTTGTTGTGTGTTTTCAGATCATTTCTGATCCTAACGCAAATCAGTCATGGGTTTTTCTTGGCAAGGTTTGTTCAGAAAGGAGCTGCCTTTGCCATTCTTGGAGGCTGAGAGAGTGTGATTTGCACATGGTCACCCAGTGGTTTCAAGGCCTAGTGGAGATCCGAATTGTGCTCTCCAGAGTTGTAGTCCAATGCTCAAACCACTGGCTCTTTAGTTGCTGTGTATGTAAGCAAAAGACCTGTTCATATCTCAGTGTATTGAGACAACTTGAGCTATTGTAAGTGGCCAGACATCTTTAATGAAAAATTACGGTATATGAAAACTTTTAAAAGAAGAGAGATGGCTGAAGCTGTAATTGTGTCTGTAAAAAAGGAAGAACAAATATCCAGCAGATAAATATCATCACTTTGAGAAGCAATGTTATCGGTGCCTCCCCCACTGAGTCTGCATGTGTTGAAAAGAAAACTGGTGCCCCTTTACACTTTTATTGGGCTTAATTCTTGCAGGTGACACCTGGGAAAGCGAAAGCAACAAAGCCTCCATTGAGATGTCATCTGAAGGAGATAAGGATGAGGAGGTGGAGAAGATTGCAGGGGATCAAAGGGGAATAAAAGTGCAGGAGGAAAACCATTTAGCAGAGATGGGGCAAAAGAAACCTGAAGGTATCTACTTGGATAGGTTTGTTTAAAATGTAGGTTCTAACACTCTATCAAATGTATTATTATCTTGATGGTGATGATGAAATGAAAATGAAAATCTATCTATCTATTACATTTAGGGAACTGGGTATGTTTAACCCAGAGAAGAGATGGTTAAGAGGTGATATGAGCCCTGTTTGAGTATTTGAGGATGGAGCAAGCTTGTTTTCTGCTGCTCTGGAGAATAGGGTCCAGAGCAATGGATTCAAGGTACAGGAAAAGAAATCCCACCTAAACATTCCTGACAGTAAGAGCTGTTCGACAGTGGAACACACTCCCTTGGAGGGTGGTGGAGTCTCCTTTGGAGATCTTTAAACAGAGTCTGGATGGCCATCTGTCAGGGCTGCTTTGATTGAGAGTTCCTGCATGGCAGGGAGTTGGACTGGATGGCCCTTGGGGGTCTCTTCCATGATTCTAGGATTTTAAGTGGAACAGCACTGCTTTGGCTGCCTGCCGGGAGCTTAAAAATGATGGATCCAGCCTAGATTCCTTGGGTAGGGAGTTTCACAGTCAAGGTGCTGCCACAGAGAAAGTCCTGTTATGAATATCCATCAACTTAACATTATGAGGTTTTGGGACACACCACAGGGCCTGTTCTGAAGAGTTCTAATTTCTGGCAGGCCTATATGGGAGGATGCAGTCTTTCAGATATCTAGGCCCCAAGTTGTTTAGGCCTTTGTAGGTCAACACCAGCACCTTGAATTGAGCTTGGAAGCAATTTGGACACCAGTGCAGTTCTTGCAGGTTCAGTGTTATACAGCCTCTAAAATGCACACCTGACACCAGTCTGGCTGCCACATTTTGCACTAGTGACAGCTTCCGAACACTTTTCAAGACTACCCCCATGTAAGGGCATCACAGTAGTCTTAATTGAAAGGTAACTAAGGCATGAACCACTGTGGCCAGATCTGCTTTCCCCAATATTACAACTTAAGATAGCGTGACTTTAAGATCAAGTCACGCTACAACTTGCAGATAGCGTGACTTTAAGATCAAGTAACATACATGCAACCCTCCTCCTGGAATACAGGGGAAGGGAGGCAGAATGAAATCAAGTTTCTGGAAAAGGACTTGGCTGGCTGGCTGGCTGGCACACAGAATAGAAAAGCAGTCCTGTTACAAGGTAAGGATGGGGTGCAGCTTTTGGATTTAGTACCAGTTGTTAACCAACAATTTTCATGTCTGTTTTATGTTTTTAATTTGTTCTCTCTGATAGTGATTTTGGGGGAAATGTTTTTAAAAGTGAAATATATATATTCATATGTATATAAAGTAAATAAAATAAGTGTAAGGGATATTTCCTTTTTCTTTTCTTCAAAGATACGGAAACTGTGAGAGTGAGCAACATAGAGAATGAGGAAGAAGAAGAGAATCTTACATCAGGTGAAATGCTTGAGGCTGTACCTGGAGGATCCCAAGAGAACATTCCCTTCATAATGGAGACAGTAGAAAGTGAGTATCTTTGACCATCAGGACTCTCGGTAATTTCCAGTTTTCCAGACAGCAGCTTGGAATCACTTCATATTCAGATTTGCAACTGTACTTATGTTTTAAAATCTTCATGGCAGGGCCAGCTCTACCATGATGAAGCAGCTGCCTCAGGTGAAAGCAGTAATAGACCCTTGGCATTCTCCCTGTTGTGAGCACAGAGCTGTGTATGTCATTCAGTCTGTCTTACACCTTCTAAACCAGTGACAGGCAACCTTTTTCTTACCTGGGCCGGTCTGCCATCGCCCAGGTTGCGGCTGGGCAAAGGGGGGGAGAAAATGGCGGCGCGCGCGCACGCACCCTTCACCGCCGCGCGTGACCCCTCCGGACACACAGCCGCTGCGATCACTACTGCGGTCACTGCCGTAGCGCGCGCGGCTCCAGCCGCCACGGCGCATGTCATGGCCACCATTTTGGGAGTCAAAATGGTGGGCGCGATGCGTTTGCGCATGCGCAAGAGTACCGCGCATGCGCAAACGTGTTGCGACCGCCATTTTGACTTTCAAAATGGCGATCGCCACGAGTGCACCTGGAAATGCGCGCTGGCGGCGGCGGCAACCTCCGGCCGGGACCGGTAAGTCCGGGGCCCGGGGCCTAAACCGGCCCCTGGGCCGTAGGTTGCCAGTCCCTGTTCTAAACTATGTCTCCTGTTCTCAGATGTGGAAACCCCTACTATATTACCAATGTTGAAGGAAAGTTCACTTGCTAGTCTACTCAGATTCTGTACAAGGAATGGAAGGGGACAACATCTCATTCTTTGTCTCTGGCAGCAAGCTATCTTGGGCCATCCCTGCTTTGCATGAGACAATTAGGTCCTGATATTATCAGGTGCACAGTTGGGGGGGACGCAAGGAGGCCACTCCCAGATTTTAAAAGACTTTGGCCTGAAACAGGTAAGCCAAATGGGCTGCCGTCAGGTTGCGTTGGGGGCATGGCATTTATACGATACACACCTTGAA